AAATGGCACACTGACTCATGATACGTTTGTTGATTAGAAAGTTCTGAATCTAAAAGAGGATTATGTACTTCTAGCTTAGGTAGAAACACGTTTTATATATCAAACTTTATACACATGCTGTAGAACAGAACGGAAAACTGAGTCAACCTACAATTATATATCGTGTCAGAAAAATTAAAACGTTGCAGAAAATCTAAAGCATTATCGAAAATATTTTATTACGAAGCACGTGGAAAGACCACTTGTTAGTTATACATTATATCACCAACAGCATATTTGGAAAATAATCATATATTAGGTTCAAAACTGTATTACGCAACTTTTTGTTACATTTCAATAATGTTTTACCTCACAAACTTTCATCGACATCCTCGTAACTTTCTGTTATTTTTAATCAGTTTTATCATTAATTACTAAAAAAGATCGTACAATCATAGGTGATATTAGTTTTGAATTATTAACCAGATTGAGAGCAGCACCGTGTTTTGTTTGAACCGAGTAAGGAGATTGACAGTCACTTTTATAATGTTCTCACAGCTAAAACTACGTAACGTATTCAACAGTGTCACTGCTCTAACCTTGGCCCCCCTCGATCTACATTTGGCACGCTAACCACTAGGTAACAGCTGGCTCAACCCACAAAGGACACAGTCGTTTCTGAGATAATTTACTGTTTAATCGTAAGTTTAAAAATTACATATATATATATATATATACACATGTAATACTGTATAATATAATTTACTTATGTATGGAAACGAATGTCAGACATATTAGTGTTATCACTGAAATATAAGAATAAAATAAGATGATACACCAAGAAATATTACGTCTAAATCACACGAATATTTTCGCAAGCGTCTTAGCAGTTACACATAAACAATTTAATTCAGTGTTGTTTAGGGGTTTAAGCTACTAATTGTTAGTAAACACTTAATTGGTAATATTCTGTTTTAACATCTTTATATAATTCGTTAGCTTGGAATATACGCAATATTAACCTGTATTATATGTTCTTCTAAAGGATGTATCAGCGAACAACTCTTCCAACCTGTAATGTTTATAACGTGTTATGAGTGAAACTGTTGACGAACACACTTTAGCCACGTGATCTGATTGTATGGAAGGAGGTACCCGTGGTTGTTATAATCATTCCGTTATTGGTTGTTACTATATCTGGTTTGTCCAATCCGAAAAGAGGCATGCAATGATTCGTAAATAAACTAGCATAGTCATTAATTTTAGTTAATTAGAAGTTAGTTTAAAATATTGGTTGAATGGTTTTCTTTCATGAAAACAGCAACGCTGTCAACATTAAAGTTTTGTTTGCAGCTCCTAAGGTAAATCAAACATGTATTTTTTATGCAGGGGTGAATAATGAGAAGCCTGAAAAAATGAACGAAATAAAAGAGTCCGACACAATGTTTATAGTGGAAAGGCAAATTGGGTAGGTGTTTGGAGTTGTTAC